GCGGGTTAAACCTCCCCCAACTATTTTTTTCTTTAGATTTCATTTTTTTCTGCAAACTTGCGATGTATTTCATGTTTGTAGAAAGATCTGTCTTGTCTGTCCATGGCCCCATTCTCTAGATTTAAGTATCCCCAGATGAGGTCATGTTGAGAATTAGATATATTGACAAGGGGCGGGACCCGCGATACTCGCGTGGGGGGGAGGGACCTCCACACATGAGGCAAAGGAGGAAGCCGCAGGAGGAGGTAAGTCCCCCCATCCTGCCTGTTCCTCCCCCGTATCCTCCAACCCCCCCGCTCAATCTCCCCCCTCTGGCCTTCCCTCCCCCGGCTCTGAAGCGAGCTTGCTGCTCTCTCTCCTTCCCCCCCGGCTCCGAAGTGAGGGCCGAGTGGTGAGTTGCTCGGCCCTTGCTGCTCTTTCTCCCTCCCCCCGCTCCGAAGCGAGGGCCGAGCCACTCGGCCCTCGCTGCTCTACCCCCCGGCTCGCCGCTCGCCTCGCTGCTCTCTTCCCCCCGAAGCGGCGGTGGTGAGGGAGGTCGCAGAGCGTTCCCTGCACATGCGCAGGGGACACTCTGTCAGTTTCGGGGGGATTTAAACATCCCCCTGATATTTTTTACAGGGTTTCTGATTTTTGTGCACACCTGGGGACCGCCCCACGTGTGCACAAAACTCTACCTCCCCCCCAGGTGCCCCCGGTGCAAGGATTTAGGTATCCGCACACCAGGGGGTGACTTCAGAATTAGATATATAGATGATGATGATGATGATGATGATGATTATGTGATCCATGTGGATTGTTTACTTAATTCCTTTTTGACTTAAATGGCTTCAAAAGGGACTTTGACGGAGGTGTTAGGTGGGGGGGGACTCTGGCATGTCATGGGGCTTCGCCCCCAATTCCTCACCCTGGCTACGGGCCTGGTTAAGGAGAAGCTGGCTGCAGTTGAATCCATCCAACATAGAGCTCATGTGGCTGGGAAAGACTGCGATGCTAGCTGGCCCACTCCTGAGACATGACGGTGTCCATCTGACAGCTGTAGACTCTGTAAAGAGTCTTGGGGGTGTGGTTGGATTCTGCACTATCACTGGATAAACAAGTGTCCATGGTAGAAAGGTCAGCTTTTTTCACCTCTGCCAGGCCCACCAGCTGGCTCCTTATTTGTCTGGGTCAGACCTTGCCGCATTGATCCATGCAACGGTCACCTCCAGAATGGACTACTGCAATTCACTCTACATCAGGCCACCCTTGAAAACACTTCAGAGACTGCAGCTGGTCTAAAATGCAGCTGCCAGATTGCTGACTAGAACATTATGGTCAGCTCATATTACTCCAATTCTGCAGCAGCTGCACTGGCTACAAATTAGTTTCTGGATCCAACTCAAGGTGTTTGTGTTAACTTTTAAAACCCTCATACCGACAGGACTACCTCTCTTGTTACCACCCTATGTACTCCCTTCCGTCATTGTCTAGGGGCCTCATGCAAGTGCCTGGCCCAAGGATGGTTCCGTTAGCTGTCACCAGGGGAAGGGCCTTCTCAGGTGTGACCCCTACCCTGTGGAATGCACTCTTGGACGACACCTGTGCCCTCTCAGACTTGTTTAGTTTCCACAGGACATGCAAAGTTGAATGGTTTAGGTTGCCCTTTGGAGGGTAATCCACATGTTTGGATTCTTTTTATTAAGGTTATGGTGCTATCTACATATTTTAATAGTTTAATATTTTAATGTTAATATTTTATTTTTGCTATTTGTTTTTATGTTGTTTTTACCTTATTATATGGTTTTCATGCTGTAAGTTGCTGCAAGACCCTTTGGGTGAGCAGTGACTTCAAAATCTAATAATTAATAAATAAAATCAATAAAATTATTAATGTCCCACTGGCTGCAGATCTCTGTGTAAGACTAATATCTTCTATTTCCTTCTGGGAAAAGGTGGAAAACAACGGACCATGGAGTGTAACAGGCTGCGCCAGTCTTGTTCAGAACAATATTTTGCTGTATAGTAGTTATCTATGTTGTCATAATTATTTGATCTGTTACAAGATTATAAAATTATGCTGTTCTGGTGGGTTTGTATTCTCGCGCTCTCTCTCTCTCTCTCTCTCTCTCTCTCTCTCTCTCTCTCTCTCTCTCTCTCTCTCTGTGTGTAAACTTTCACTTGTGCTAAAAGTTTTTGCACCACAACGGAAGTTCTGAGGAACAGCTGACAAAAGCACCTTGAGTCTAAGGAGAGAAGTTGGGGCATAAATGTTTTAAACAAATTAAATAAAAAAGCACATAGCTATATCACTCTGCTGAGTGAATGGATGTGAGAAGTTATTTTCCAGGCTTCATCAACAAGTACACTACCTTTATCTGAGAACAGTGGATAGCACCATTCCTGTGTAAGCAATTGCTAATAGCGGATGACATGATGTCCTGTGTTGTTTAGTGCAGAATTCCAAAGAACTCAAAAAATTGTTTATGGCTTTGTGATAAATTTGACTGGACCTAGAAAACTGTACTACACTACTGTTTTTTCCTGATATTTTCCCCGTGAACCAACATAGTGACTTACAATATCATTCTGTGCATTTGAATATCAATGTTTTAATTTCAACACAAGAGTGTTTGGTGTATTTAGTGTACAATATTTGAAAACTGACTTCCAAAAGCCTGCACTGTATTTGAACTTACTACTTTTGTATTATAACCTACTAGTTGTCATCACCACTTAGATATTATCATCCATTCAGGTTTTAATAGCCAAACTATATTAAAATAGCCCAGTGGAATACCAGCACTATCACTGTCTCTGATCTTGGTTTCCTGTAATATGGAAACGCATAAGGAGAATTTGCATTTTGGTTCCAATACATGTGAATCGTAAGCACTCCTTAACCATAAGTTGTGTGTTTTGCTGAATAAGGTGTTTCTAGTACTTCCTGTCTCTGGCTTGCCAACGAAGTACAAGTTCATCTGAAGTCTGTGAAGTCAATTGCAATAAACTGAGAGCTACCTCAGACTAGGGATGCTGGTGAACTTAGTGATTCTGAGACAAAAATGGTGGTGCTGGTGTTTGGAAGGCTATATTCATGGTAAATAGGCCCTTCTGCGCCTTGGATACATGTATCCAAGGATTAGTAACCCCCCTCCGACATTGGTGCTGTGCAACACCAGGTCTATTAATAATAAAACAACAATCCTTAGGGACTTTATTATGGAACAACAGGCTGACCTGGCTTGCGTGATGGGGTACTGACCTGGGTGCGGGATGGGGAGACTGTAGCTCTCTCCCAGCTTGCCCCACCTGGGCTTTCGGTCCTACACCCATCATGGACTTGGGGGCGGGGGGGAGGAGTGGCGATATTTGTACGAGAGGCTTACTCCTTCAGGGCGCTCTCCACGGCAGAGATTACGGGCTTAGAGTGTGTTGGTCTGGTGCTGGAGGCCGAGGAGAGTTTGGCAATCTGGTTGGTGTACCGGCCGCCTAACACACTGGCCAGTAGTCTGCCGCCATATTCCACTTTGTTTACACTTCCAAACCAGACTCGAAAGACTCATCGTTTCACTATCGGTACTCAAGTAAGTCTCTCAGAAAAAAGCCGCTGTTTATTTCCCCCCTTCCCCCTTTGCTACATTAGTCCATTCATGCGCTTAGGAGGCGCCCCTCCTTGCGCACCACTTTTCCCATGGAGGGGGGTACTCTGTTTTAGTAAAATAGTCCATTTATTTCGAACTCACGTTCAGTGTTGGTCATATCTTGACCCCGCTCTCTTCATACGCTATTCCGCTTAATCTCCTGCGCTTGTCCCAGTTAGATTGGCTTGTACCCTAAGGTCACCCATCGACTGGACCATCGGGGCGTAGGGAACCCTCTATTCTCTGGCATCAAGCCATCGAAGAGGCTAACCCTCAAAAGCCCCCTGGCCTGGAACCCTTCACAAGGGCTCTGTGGGGGTGCCACTTGAGGTGGCACCCCTCCAAGCTGAGGGTGTGCTAGTCACCTCCTTGGGCATCGAGGAGAGCGACCGCCATCACTGAAGCACCCACCGGAAGTCCTTAATGTTGGATTCTTGTAGTCTTAAAGTCACCGGTTTCAAGATCTTATCTGGAGTGCCTTGGGAGGAACATCAGGTAAAACAGAGATGTTAATGTTTTGAAAGGAAATATGACCCTATTGTTTGGCAAGCTGGAGGATCGACTTGTGCATCCGGAGGTCTGCAAAGGTGACTACGATGTCCCTTGGGTGACTTCTATTCGGAGCATTTGGAGCTCCTTGTCTGTAGGCTTTCAGGATTACTGGGAATATGCCTTCCTCAGCTCCTAATTCAGAAGCAATCCAATTACCGATAAAGCATATGAGGTCGGTATTCCCTTCCAAACCCTCAGGGAGACCACAAAACTTAAGGTTCCCTTGCCAGACAGCCATTTCTAGATGAAAAAACCTGATCTTTGAGGGTTTGGGAGTCTTCATGTAATGAGCGAGTTTCCCCATGTAAAGTCTGGCCAAGTGAAAGCCCCTTTTCTGCCGTCTGCGCCATTTGAGCTAATGTCTCTGCTATACAGTTCAGTTGATCACTTAAAGGGTGAAGCATACTTGCCATTTTTTCAGTTTAGGATTGACGTTTCCATGGACTGGAAAGAGGCTTGTAATGAAGCCTGAAGAGATTGTAGCACCGAGGAATCTGGAGAGATGCCTGTAAGAGTGGGAGAGACTCCAGACACCATTTTCTTTAGTGGCAGGGCCTCCAGTTCCACACGGGTTTTAATATTTTCAATGGGAAAATAAGTGTGATCTGGTTTGTTTTTACCAGATGGAGATTGAGCTTTAGATCCTCCCGATTTCCCCATGATTAGATCTGCAGTCAAGCAGTCTGCCAAAGAGTAAGGTGGGTGAGAGGGTAGATCAGGGTTGGAGAGATCAGTCCAGGCATGAGTTTCCCTCGCCGCCCCCCGCCCCCCCCCCCCCGAGTCTCTTGTCTTGAAAACCCTGCAGGGTTGCCACAAGTCAGCTGCGACCTGACAGCACTCTCCGCACCAAATATGTACTGCTGTTTGTATATGAACATTTTGACTGTTGTTTCTAACTTTTTGTCAGCATTTTTAAAAAACAAAGAGCTGCCATTATATGCCAAAAACACAAACAAACTGAAACTATTAGGAATGTAAATGCAACACAAGAGGCTTCAGGTTTTTTTGGAGGGGGGTAGAGAGGGGGTAGACACAGATTTTTACCACCTCTCAAGTCACTACGATATGCTACTTACTACAGCTCCTATGATATCCTCTGCACTCTCTGGTCTTTCCTGTTAGAAAGCTATATTTCTCTCATATGTCTGGTGGCTTTCCAGGTAATGAGAAAGTGCACAACCCTGCCAAAGCAATGGGGCATTAAAGTATTTAACTTGGTCTGGATTTATGCCCATGATATTCTTGTAATTTCTTGCTGTTCTGACTAGCCTTGTGATCTCACCTGCTCATTTGAATGCCTTCCAGCTCCCACATAGTTCCCAGGAAAGAAACTGAATGTTGCAATAATAAAAGAGCTGCTGTTCTAAGAGCAAAATGGGTATGCATGATACACACCTGCTGCTTTGGGTATATCAAAGCTCTCGATAATAACTTGTTTTCATTTGCAGAGTTGTATCTATTCTCCTATCCCGAAGCACAGAAACCGGTTCAGGGATATAACAGGTGCTGTAAACTAGATACAATGCAAGTTTTTTGCTGGGAAAACTGTTAGGAAGATACCGTATTCTTCCATAGTGAACTTCGTCAGAGATAATTAGGTAAAGGTAAAGATTCCCTTGCTCGAAAGCCAATCGAATCCGACTCTAGGGTTGCGGTGCTCATCTCCGTTTCAAAGCCGAAGAGCCAGCGCTGTCCGAAGACGTTTCTGTGGTCATGCGGCCGGCATGACTAAACACCAAGGCGCACGGAACTCTGTTACCTTCCCACTGAAGTGGTACCTATTTATCTACTTGCAATTTCTTGCTTTCAAACTGCTAGGTTAGGTTGGCAGGAGCTGGAACCAGAGACGGGAGCTCACTCCGTCATGCGGCACCCGGGTCTCGAATTGCTGAACTACCGACCTTCCACAGCCTGCAGTTCAGCGTCTTAACCACTTGAGCCACCGCAGCTTCCAGAGATAATTACTCACACCATAATAATTTGTTGTGATTAGGCTGGTGGTTGCTACAGCCTTGTTATCTGTATGTATTCAGATAAAGTTAGTAAATACATCAGTTCTGGTTTTAAGACTTGCCTCTTTCCCCGTGATTGAATTCCAGTGCTATTAAAAGCTTTATTGTAGACAAAAAGTTTTATTAGCCTTGGGAAATATCAGTAGAATAGAATGAATCTATTTAACACCACCCAAAGAACATGGGACAACACAAGAAGACCTCCGCTGCATCAGACCAATGGTCCTTTTATTCCAGCATCTTGTTTCCCATAGCAACCAACAGCATCCTTGGAATGAGGTGGGAAAGAAAGGTAGAGCTGGGTATCATTAACACATTGGTGACACAGCAGCCCAGACGTCCTGATGACCTATCTCAGCAGCTTTGTATAGATATTAAATAGCATGGGGGCTACGATTGAACCCTGTGGAATCTGCAACACCACCCTCTGAGACCAATCCCCCAGATAGGATTCGAATCATTGCAACACAGGGGTCCCCCCCAGTCCCAGTGCTGAGAGGCGGCTTAGTAGAATACTATGGTTGATAGTATCAAAGACCTCTGAGAGATTCAGCAGAACTAGCAGGGTCACATTCCCCCTGTCTAGTTCTCAGTAGAGGTCATCAACCAAGGCAACCAAAATAAAATACCCACTGCTACCCTCTCAGACTCTGTTAACAAATAGGGTGTGTCCTCAAATGGCCCAATAGTTTATTCTTGAAAACAGCTGGAGTGTATCTTTGGATCTGCAAACTACATATGTGTAGTATGAGAAATAAATGCACATTGGGTTAACTCTACACAAACCCAACCTTCTGTGCCTTTGTTTCAGCCACAGTTTCCAGACTTAGTTCTACTGGTATTTGTCAGCCTAATCTGGAACACTGACTGCCCAATTTTGCTCCATAGTCCATTGTACTACAGCACCTAAAGGAAATCTAGTGTTTCAAAGGCCTTACGGTCTTGGGGCAATGACTTCATGTGGGTACATCCCACTTGAGATTAAAAGCTTTTTTTCCTTCTCTCTTGCCAAGCTTAGAGATGCTAGTCACCTAGCAAGTCTCTTCTCTTCAACTGAAGTTTTTTAAAGTCTGGAAGCAATGCTTACTCTATGATGTCTATAGCTTGTCTTGCCAAATGCCAAAATATAATCCTCTAATTTCATTTTGTGTGGTTGCCATTATAGCACTGTGGACATGTTCCTTTGCAGAACAGAAAATTAACCAAAGCTAGGCCCCTGCCCTCAGGCATTTCCACGCTAAACTTAAACAGTGAGAGGTAGAAGAGAAGCGGAGGCAATAGTAATGTGTTCTCCCAGTTTAATAGAGGTAGAGTACAATCTGAACAGGTCTGCTCAGAAATCTATTCACGGCTACTCACTGGGGCACAGGAAAGTGTCTTTAGGATTGCAGGGTTATATTACACATTGCTGTAACACCAAGAAACTAGCAATCATACTCCTTACTGGAAAGTCTTCATTCTGTTTATGGAACTTCCAGTCACCAAAAGTCCAGTTATAAAATATGCAGTAATGATGATAACAATGATGCATTATGTATAAAGGACTTTTTCTTTTCCTCTTTTAACCCTGAATTGCTGTTTTGTGTCTATGTATATTTTTTTTAACCTAGCCTAGGAATTTTAATGGACCTGTCCAAGAAGAGTAGAGGAAAGGCGAGGGGAATCATTGGAGATTTCAGTAAATTGGGGCAACGTTTTCCAGATAGTTTCACAGGCCAATACTTGGAGGTATTCAAGACCAAAGATTTCCCAAAAGCAGAGCATGTGTTATGATTAAGCTTCATATTTCAAAATAACTGTAGCAATGTCCTCAGCACAGGCCAAAGGGTCTTGTGCCTTTGTCATTCATTCTAGTACATTCTAGTACAAATTCCAGTTTGTTTATATAACAACAGTTAGCGGGGCAAATGAGCACGTTGTCCAGAAATGTAGGAACAGTTATTTTAGGGTTACCAGACTGCCCAGAGCGGGCAGGGGTCTCCTGCTTTTGGGCGCTACTCCTCCCAAAAATCACCCCTCTTACTGGCAGGAACCCAGAAATCATTGCAGTGTGCCTACGAAAACTGGAAGTGATATAGGCACCTTGGGGACACTGGAGGGCGATGCTCTTGTTTTGGGGCAAAACACGATGATCTGAAGCGAATTCTATCATAGAGTTTTGCCCAAAAACCCGAGCATCGCCCCTGACGTGCCTACATCACTTTCTGTTTACATATGCGTATTGTGACACTCCTCCTCACTCCTGGAAAGTTCCTCCCCCTCCCCCGCCGGCACAACGATCGGACCTGGCAACCCTAGGATAGTTACATTTAATCTGAAAAACAGCCCCCTGCCTAAGTGGCACCCATGAGAAGAGGAAAAGATTTGCAGTCAATGACATGGCTGAACTAGGTTCCCACACGAACACTTCTGAATATGCGCTGTGTACCATTTTGCAGTGTTTAACCTCTCACCTGGTACCAGTGGTCAAGGAGACCAAGATGAAGATGGCATGACAGAATAGTCTCATAGCACCTATCCTGATTGGTTCCTGATATGTGTATCCATGTTCATTTAAGACAGCTGGGCTTGCCTTCAGTGCTGTCCTTGGCCATAGTGGCTACTCTCCTGCTAATATGATCTGTAACAGCACAGGCCTCGATAGTTTCATAGCACATACAGCCAGTTTGGTGTAGTGGTTAAGAGTGCGGACTCTAATCTGGGAGAAACCGGGGGTGATTTCTCACGAGAGCTGCCTCGCAGCACAGCGCCGTTTGCCTCGACACAAACGTGTCAATTTCACACCCGAAGCTCCGGGGCTGCATTTTGACTCGGGGCTTTGCCCGATTTCCTCCGCAGTTTCATGATCCTGGTTTTTGAGGATCATGAAACTGCGGAGGAAATCGGGCAAAGCCCCAAGTCAAATGCAGCCCCGGAGCTTCGGGTGTGAAATTGACACGTTTGTGTCGAGGCAAACGGCGCTGTACTGCGAGGCAACTCTCGTGAGAAATCACCCCGGGTTTGATTCCCCATTCCTCCACATGCAGCTGCTGGTGTGACCTTGGATCAGTCATAAATTCTTTCAGAGCTGTTCTCTCAAGGGCAGTTCTTGAGAGAGCTCTCTCAGCCCCACCTACCTCACAGGGTGTCTGTTATGGGGAGGGGGAAGGAAAAGGATTGTAAGCTGCTCTGAGACTCCTTTGGGTAGTAAAGGACAGGGTATAAATCCAATCTCTTCTTCTTCTACTAGTATAAAACTTCAAGGTGAACTCTTCCTTCAGCAACAGATCACATTTCTTTGTACAAGATTGGTGTGGATTTTAGCCACTGTCAATGGAAAATGGAAGATTTGTCTCCACTTACCGTGAAGCTTCCTTCTCGGTGGTCCAGAGTGGGGCAGTGCTATGGACTCCTTTACTGCTGGGAAGCTCCTCCCCTCTCTGAAGGCAGGGCCGGTAGACTCTTTAGGCATGGAAGGGGAGGGGGTCATCCCCTGGAACCCAGTCGTTCTCCAAGCCTTCATTCCCTTTGCTGCAAAGGAACTGACAACATTCCACTCCCAACGGGGAGCTAAACAGTCAACAATAGCAAAAAAACACCCATCCTCCCAAGAACCTAGGTCGGGTAGAACACTCCTCCCCCAACCTCTCTGTACATGGACAGTCACCTCCGCTGACTGAGGAAGTGGTCCCCCTCAATATTAGGGTGGGCAGGACTGCCCCACTCTGGACAACTGAGAAGGAAGCTTCATGGTAAGTGTAGACAAATCTTCCATTCTCCGGTGGTCCAGGAGTGGGGCAGTCCTTCAGACTCCTTTACTCCTGGGACTTGACAAAACAGTATCCT